ATTACACACGTGCTTCTATATTCAATATGCACACTGCTAATCAGTAAAATGCACTTTGAGTATCCTCTGACCTCTTGACTTGCTCATTTTTCTCCTCTTCTGTCATTGGCCGTTTGACGCCGTCCTCTGTCTCAATGTAGCCGATGTCTCCACCTGCTATTCCTGAAGTCGAAACAAACAGGCAAGACAACGTGAAAACTTTGACAGCTTACGTCCGACTACTAACAAACGCAAAACAAGACAAGAGGCCCATCTAAAATAAAATACCACAAACCTTAAAACACCAAAGCAGTGCCAATGAACCACAACGAAACACCACCAACAAAACATCAAGGAAGTGACTCAACCACTTGACACAACATTTTTGAGATAAAGAGCTAGATAAGATAGATTTACTGGGGGTGCATATCCTGTAGCTGAATTTGGCTGTATGCACGCGCGCGCACACACACACACACACACACATATATATTGACTGGTATAGCTATCAAAGGCAAAATAGTGTCATTTTACCATTTTCTTTTGGATATACAGCACATTCAGTATGACCACACTTACTGCAAATGTGGCGGTCTGATTGGTCAGATCTATTTATTTGGATCCAAATCAAGTCAAAAAATATTTTTTAAACACGTGAAATATTCACACGGATTTTACACGTCCAGTGTGTAAAGTCCTTAAGAGTAGATACATTTAGGTTGTCTAGTGGTATATTCAATCACACTGAAAATCTGTGGGTGGCTTTTCTTTCCTGCCCCTTTAATGACATACCTTCAAAACTTTCCTGCCCCTCCTGACCTTCAGAGCTGTCTGCTGTGCTGGGCAGGCTCTGTGGTTCTCCTCCCAGGACGTTGCCCGCTGGCGGCACATAGGGCTCATCGATGTCTGGGTCATTTTCGTGTTCCATTAGCCTGAGGAGAGTTCGTAAGCAAAATGTATTACTTTCCAACAGCCACAAAGAGCTTTACAGAGGTCTAGATAACATTTTTAAACACCCTATTTCAAGTCAAAATGGACACACACAAACAAGGTAAAAAAAAAACCCACAAACCACTAAAATGTCTGAAAAGATTCGTTTTAAACTGCCTTTTAAAGAATACCACAAAGTCAAGGGTGCAAAAAGTGTGTGACAAGCTAGTGTGTGACAAGCTAGTGTGTGACAAGCTATTCCAAAGTTTTGGAATGTTAGTTTTCAGGCAGGTATGAGGAACCACAAACCGGTCTAAGAACTTGGTTTGAAGAATACAACTGGAGTAGCAGCAGGGAGACTATCTAGGAGGGGCTGCACCCCATAAAGACATAAAAGTGAGAACCAAGATTTTTAACTGAAAGCTAATCCTGACAGGAAGTCAGTGTGAAAGCTTTAAAAAAAATTGGGTGATATGAGAAAGTTTATAATGAGTTAAAAGCCTCACAGTAGCATCTTGCACAGATTAGATGCGATTAATAAATGTTTCAGTCCGACAAGAAAACAGTCCAATCCAAGTGAGAGGAGATGAAGGCACACACAAGCATTTCTAATTCACTTTTTGAGACAACACTACAAAGTTAATCAATATTTCTTAAATTGAAAAAACAACAGTCACTTATCCGATCACCACAATCATGTTTACATTGGGAAATGAAAACCACTGGATAGTTTTATGAGGGAAACTGGCGTGTGGAGCTGGACTGTGGCACCAAGTTAAGTGATGACAGAGGGAGGTTTCAAAGTAGTGTGTTGTTATTCTGAGTGCTAAACTCACCAATCCATGGCTTGCTCAATTCCCTGGTTCCCTGTATTGGCCACTGCCTTCTCTCTAAAGACAGATTATGATCATATGATAGATAATGTAGACACAGTTTCATTTCCTTGAAATCAGCTTCAAACCTGAAACCCAAATAAACCAATAAAAATGTGTGCATCAGGGATCACTCACGCTCTGTTTCGATCAAACCCCATCTCCAGCAGACTCTCAAGTGTTGTTAGCTCTGCCATTTTGACCTGAAACAATACAGGAACGTTAACGAGGAGTTCATCGTCTAACGTACTGGTACAATGCTTTCATCTGATGATGAAAAGAACCCAAAGGACCTCTAACCAAACTAAAGTTAATGCAAGAGCTCATGACTTTATTTTAGCTGACTAAAGCAGCTACACTGACCACTATTGTCCGAATATAACACTACGTGAATATAAACAAACGATTCCTTTACTAGCAGCTTACCAAAACACAAATTTATTCCCGCTACACACATGCAGTTATTTGATATAATAAATACCATCGTGATGAGAGCTAAAATTAGCTTTAATGTGGCTAACGTTCAAATTGCGAAAGCTAACTGGGAAGCCTCGCTGGCTAGCACGATTAGAAACAATTTGGAACTCCAATAAGCTCTTCATCACTTGTGCCGTTAATGTTAGTTTGTATACTTGAGCTAAATGCAAACTGACGTGCCAGTTTATTTATGTACGGAGGAAATATGAGCTAATATACCCAGTGAAGGTAGGGATAGTTAGCTACTCACACATCGGACAACACCGCTTCACCAGTAAGGAAGCCCACACGAGTCAAAAAGAACAAAGCGAAATTCACGCTTATTAGAAAGAACGATTTTCGAAGTCTTAAGATTTGTTTAAAAAAACAAACAACATACAGATCCTCCACTTACTGGGGACACTTGGGCGACGCTATCTTCACGTTTATACACCTTGTGCTTCTACTGAGTTATACTTCAAATGAATGAATAAGCCTCCCTAACATGCAAATAATGAACAGTAACACGTAAGCTACTGCAGGGTTCACCTGACCCCATCTATTCATCACCTCTACGACAGCATATCAATACCGGGGTACTAAAACGATGTCAAATGATACACAATGCAAAATATCTACAAGAACTAAATCAAATATCTTTATTAAGGAAAAAACATTCTTACACCAGTTGCTTTAAATCACTGGTGAAATATTATAGATTGGTGAAAGTAGTGCCCTAGGTCAGAGTGTAGAAATACTCTGTTCAAAGCAGGATTTTAATTCTATTAAAGTCTACTATTATTACTGATGTGGCCTGAGTAGGATCAAGTATATAAATCAAGGTGTTTACCAGTGAAATAAAGATTAAGTGAATATTAAATAATTACTTCACTACCTCTATTTATGGTTTTAAAGAATATAATTTGGTGTGAAATAGGGTGTTAAACCGGAATTCCCGTCAAAGTCAGTGAGATCAGGAAACACATTGAGTGTGTTGCTGGTTTAGATGTGCTATTTAAGAACTATTTATAAATGCATCTAACTGGCTTGGAGGAAGACGAAGAGGCTCTCCCTTTGTAACTCATTTACACTTATTGTTCTCACACTTTGACCAAAGATACATGCAGGAATGAACTGTTTGCAGGAATCACTCACTTTGAGCTTGAGTCAAATGCACTTTACAAATTTGTTTCAGGCAAACACTCTTTGTCTTCAAAAGTCATCTTCAAAACAACACAAAAGTAACACTGTTAATAGAAACTCCTTCAAATCTGGAAGGTTTGTGTTTTGGGGGATACATAAGGTCTTATTATTGTCTATAATTTACAAATCATTTGAAAAAAAAATCCTATATCATCTTGCAGTCACTTCAAAAGTCCAGTCCAGATTTGGATTTTATAGATATCCAAGACCAGAATAAACAGTACAACTTGATGGAGTTGGCCCAGATTTTGACTATTCATCAATCATTTCTTTAAAGTAATCTCATAATGTCCTTTCCATTTAGATATTTAATCAGGTGATTTTATTAAACCGCGCCCCAGTAAGAGTGAGTGAGAGAGAGTGAAATGTGTCAGCAGAGGAATTATGTCCACTGGATGATTAGGGGTGGGGGAGGCCTGATGAGAAGGTCGGATGATCTTATTGGCTGCTCTGCTGCATGTATGATTTCATCTCATCTGCGTGTCTCCGTGGGTGTTCAAACACAATGCAATTTGCTGACTTTTATGTGCAGGTTGGGTTTGTTACATATTTACAGTAAGTGTAATGATTAATTTTTCTCTCCCCCACATAGTCTTAAGCAGCCCTCATTCACGAGCCTACCATTACTCAGAGACTCCGCTCACTGCTGGGTGTCTTTTTTGTAAAAACGCTCTTATTTACTATTTATTTGTTTGTCTTTTTTCCCCCTCACACTTATATTTTGTTATTTTTTTTATCTGGGTTTTACTTGTCTTGTGTGTTTCCTTTTACAATTAATAACTGAAGAAGCTTTGCCTGCAGCTTTTACTTGGTAAGTATTAACTTTTCTTTTACATTCTAGAAAGCAAACTAACTGAAGAGATTAACAAGACCAGTTTATTTCACCATGCATCTAATCTACTTGCACACTGCAGGACAAACCCTGTAATATGTATTTGTATATATGTTAAAATGAGAACAGTTGATCACAGAGGATCTTTTAAGGAAATTAGATGATTCATTTATAATGAATTCAAGTGCCTTCAAATGCAAACACGTTCTGTGCGAACATGTGTGTAATTTACAAAGATGTTATAGACGATATTGTACCTGTTCAGATAAAAATGATTATAGTATGAATACATTTCAGTTTCTGCAGGTTCTAACTCTGAGATGATAAGCGTGAGGATTTGCCCAGCATTAAAAATGTTGGTTTAATATGTGGTATTTGATTTCCTGACGTCACCTTTCTCTGTCCAGACCGAGTTCGTTTCCGTGCTCGGCCTCTTGGTGCACATTATCTGAAGACGCTAATGACCCTTCATAATGGAATTATCTGT